AAAAAAAAAATTCACAACTGTAAACTCGTATCCCTCGCGCGGTATTTAACTCATTGCTCTGTGAAATGACTCAAATTTATAAGACAAATCACTAGGAACTCACGTCTCTCATGTTTGTAAATCTGTGATTGCACGTCTGTGGTATGTCATGAGGATAATGATGACCCGCTGTACGCAGGAGTTGGGGCGATTGAGGCGCATCGCCTCACCAGGTCGGTGAGTTTTTCACGACTGCCTCGGTTAAAGGGAACAACCAACGACCGACTGAGGGGTGGACCTCCAGTCTAGGGGTAGCTGAGGGTGAGATACTCCAAGGCCACTGGGGATGAGGCTAGAGCTTCCACCAGCAACGACATCTTCCGGACAATCCAACCATCCGCTTTTCAAGCTTTCCAGGATTACACCTAAAAATCTACTCCTATATCACGATCCCCTTCCAAAAATATTTTCTCCAGTATTTTATGTAAAAATTAAAGTTAACTTTAATAAACCTAAAGTTCTTGTCCTCGACATCGCTCCACCTCGCACTCCTCCAAAAGTACTTTTCCCACACGTGTTGTAAAAAATTATTATTACACCGTGACCATATCTTGAATGAAAAAATATATTTAATACTGTTTATTCACGTAAAATGGATAGATCAGATCCTTTTGTATATATCTTTCAGATCATAAGCGAATGATTAATTTAGATCTACCAGGAATTCCTATGATGAATTTTATTTCAAGAAATTTGTAGGAAATTTTAAAAGCTCGAATAATCTGAAATTTCTTCAGAATTTATTCGATTGCCTATTATTCATCACCGGACGATTTCCCGACACTTCCCCATCATCTTCAGAGCGTAAAATCCTGTAGATCCTGTGCGAGTCGTCAGTGAAAACTGCCCTTACTACTGTTCAGTAGAATAACCAACATATGATCAGGCAGATGCAACAGTACGATTTAAATCTCAGATGTACTCCAAAAAAATAATGAAGAAATGAATAAAGATTGTTTAATTTGATGAACAATTTGCATTCATCCTTTTACAATTAATCATCAATCAAAGTCGCGGTGTTTGATAAAAATGATGGATAGTCGTAGCATTCACCATTAACTTCATTCAACGGATTTCGTTGCCTTTCAAATAGACGTAAATAATGAAAGACTTTAAGATGCCATAAACCAGATACACCCAAGAATCAACGATCGCGATATACCGACTTAACCACATCCAAGATCGATCTCATACTCAACAGGTTTGCGTGCCGGAAGTCGCCGAAGGCAAGTAGGAGTCCAAGAGGAAGTCCACTCATCAACAATAAAGCCTGGTCTAGGACTTCATAGAGCGATCGCGGCCGGAGATCGAATTTGGTGATTTTCCTTTTCCTTTTCCTTTTCTAAAGGCCCGTTGATCGATGCAATAATGCTACAGACTTTGATGGAAAGATTAGAGGGTAATGGAATACCCATACCGATGAATAATGATTTCAAGTCATGAGAGTGTGAGGGATGAAAGGTCAAGGGTGAAAGTAATAACAGATATACATTTCTTGTTTCTCTCGACTCTCATTTTATTTTTGTTTATATTTGAGTTCTAAGATAAGGAAGTAATATAGTCGTTGACAGATTTGATAAGTACAAAATAATATTTCATCATTTTTTGGAGAGAAGGGGCAAAACAAATTGAGATGACTACAATATTTTTGGTGATTATCTTGACAGTGAAATATTTAGGATGAAATGTTTTTTTTTCAATATGAATTTTTCAGGGGAGAAATTTCCAGTCAATGGATTAATCTCTAAATTAATCATTTTGGGGAAAAAAAATTGATTTGTGTAGGTGAGAATGAATTGATGAAGAACTTCAGTTTTGGAGAAGTTCAGTAATTGTGGAGATTTGAATTGTTTCGCCACTTCTCCAATGATTTAGTACACATTAAGTCCTTGAGTGCGACATTTGAGGCCGAAAATTCACTTTAGAGATTCCAGTATCACAGAATTCGTTTCGAGTGCTGATAAACTCGATGGGACAAAACATTAAATGAAAACAAAGATACATAAAAAATATTGAAAAATTTCTTGATAAAATTTAACGTTAACGATACGGTTGAAAACACTCGCTGCCGGATTATTATTTACAACTAAAATACCACATGCACTTCACTGGTCCACTTAATTCGTACATTCTAGTCCGTATACACATGTAAAAACCGGATATGATGAATTCTACTTAGTCTAAAATACCTAAAACGAGTTTCTACTATTCACTCTCGTTTTAGATTCATCAAGTTCTTGTACTTTTTCTCGTGTTTATATAAATCGATTCTTAATTGTCATGCTGGATAAATATCGTCATTTGGTCATTACCAAAATTTCAATTAAATTGAGTAACAAAGAAAATTGCAGAGAAATCAATTTTCATGATGAGGCAAATATATACTCTCAAAATTTTTTCGAAACTCCAGCACGTCGAAATTTTCCGAGGTATTTGCAATAATCAATGCGATATAAAAATGTCATCACTCATCATGAAAATCAGTCTTTCTACCTCTAAAATCAATTTTAATGTCTCATAAAGTGTCAGGCATTTCCAGGTTTCTCGTCGTTTAATTTACACCTAGAATAACCCGCAAAATCCTAAATTCTTATGACTAATCACCTCCATCGTCAATTGATCATGATGAAAAAATCCAAAAATAGCCTTTAGCTTCTTTGCCATCTTGCAACTGAATATATTCTGAACAGTCAATTCCCACATTCACCTTTTACCATTAACTTTTCCCTTGGGGCTTTCGGCAGTGGATTCATTGAGGTCACGTCTGGGTCTCAGTATGAAATTAAGATTATGAGCAGTATTAACAGCATAATAGACATTAGCTGAGCTAGGTAGTACCATCTCCCTATCAGGTAATACCTGAGCAAGTGTGTATTGGTCTGGGCTGCCCTCGATGCAGAGTTTTAGCATAGCATTTCTAATGACTTGTGGTGTACGTTCATTATTAGACAGCATTATGGATTTGTACAGAACCACGCCCTCAGTCTCAACGCTGTCACTCTCCATTGTCACTTTTATTATGTAAAAATCTGGTGAATTTTTGTGGGAGTGACTGGGACTGGAGAGGCCAGCTAAATTGGGTGTGCTAGTGCCATTGGTTGTTATTGCAGGTGGTGGTGCTAATCTCGAGGTGTTGCTTCCTCCTCCAGAACCTAGAGAGATGTCCAACGAGGGTAATGACGAGTTAGAGGATGAGGAAGACAGTTGAGAGGGTGATGTTCGCCTATCGAGAGAGTTGTGGGGAGAGCTGGGGAGGGAATCCAGGTCGCAGTAAAATTGCGAACTGCTGGAGCTCGAGGTTGATGCCAATGAATCATTTTTTCTGTGTCCCTGACCGTTGGATTTCTTCTTTCGATTCAGGGTATTTCCTGGTGGTGGGGTCTCTATCTGGCAGCTGAGTTTGTAGGCTTCTCTGTCGTCTAGGACCACTATCGAGTGAAACCAACAGTCGAAGAGAGGATCTGAAGTGAAATGGTAGGCGTTCGCTGCACCCTGAAGGAGACGAATCCGAGCAAGGACCTCGAATTCCTTTCGACGCTTGTCGAAATTTATTAGACCCTCGGCCACCGTGTCTGGGATTGCTGTGTCGATCATCGTCAAGTCTGTGAGGAAGGTACCAAGATATGGAATTGTCCCATAACTAATATTCTGAAAAAGAAGAAAACTTCCATTATTTTATTTCTCTACAGAACAACTTTCAACAAGACCAAGACTTTCTCTCTAGCAAGTGAAATTTCTCACAGAAGATCTCCCCCAAGAAATTCTCTCAAACCTCCTCGTTTTCCAGTGATTCCCAAAATAACTGAACGATAATTTTTGAACATGCCCCCCTCTACCTCCTCTTTCAACAGTCAGATAAAATCTGCACAATATTCATGACGTGAGAAATATTCTGAACTTATCAACAACTCGATAAATTAATTTTTTTTCAAAAGACGAATTTTTGTGAGAGATATTCTTTACTCTATGATTCATATGCAAGATATTTTATTTATCGTCTGTATTTTATATGCAAAATTATATCAACTTACCCCCGCATGAGTATTCTGTTTCTGAAATAATTTCTGAAGATGTCTATCACTCCTGCCAGCTGTATCAGCAAATTTAGCAGTTCCCTCTTTAATCAAAAGCTCCCTCTGAGTCCAGGCGTTATTCTCTTCCGAAAATATTCGCTCCAGTTCCATAAACAACTCATGTTTCTCCCTCGGCATGCACTGCCAACACTTCTCAAGCCTATAAACTGGATTACTTTGTAAACCAGACACAATAGCCTTGAGACTACTGAAATTTTTCAATATCCTCAGCTCCTGGGCAATGTCAATCCACGTTTCGAGTATTCTGGCACGTTCTTGGGGTTTTGTCGATGGATCAACGAGAATCGTGGAGATGACCCTGAGTGATACCGCGTTAAATTGATTTACTGTTGCTAAAACTGTTGCTGCGTCGTGGCTACGTGATCTGTCACGTCTAGACCACACAGCACCTAAACATTGGTGGGCCACGAGCTTTTTGAAGACTTCCGCGTCCATGCGGGTCAGCTGCTCGGCGAAGTGACGGTGAGGCACTTCGGGGAATTTGTAATTTGACCAATGGTCGCTATGAGAATCCGACGAATTGTGGAGGGCCAGTCTTCCATTGTCGTAGATACAATTATCTGCAAGTAAAATTCCACAAGCATTCAAAGCAATCCTTTTCTCAAATTTTTGCATTATTTTATAAACCCCAAACTCGTCATCAAATTGAAAATTTCATTTCCCCCCTAAAAAAAATAATCCACTGCATTAATTAATTCTCGTTTGTAAAAATCACGTAAGGAGCAATTATCCCCCTCATCAAATTGTTATCTTCATCAATACATTTTTCTCGAAAAAAAAAAATCAGCTTATCAACTTGAGCTCTTCATCACTCAGGATAAAATGAATTTGTCCTCGTCAATTTATTTTCATCACTTCTGGGTCTCAACGCAAACAGAAAATATTTATTCACAGGCGCAAAACAATTCGTACCCCACAGAGGTTGAAATAATTCACTGATTAGTCACGTCATAAGTGTTAAGTGTTAATTCGTGATAAGAGGAACAGGGCATCCGGTTCGCGTCGTGTCATCTTTCAAAACATTGAAAAATAAAAAAGAAGAGAGCAAGCATTGTCATACCGATTTCATCTTCGCACTGAAACCTGTGAAGCCGATGCCTCGCTTTAAGCTCAAGCTCAGAGCCAGGTAATCGTCGATGCGTAAAGTCCAGGAGTCTAGCGAGTAACGGATGACCTGGAGCTGATTTCCAGTCACCTGGATAGGCATCCAGCCATACGTGCAGGGCTTGCACCAGGGTTTTCCGGTGTTGTTCACCAGTCTGAGCTGGTGAATTATCCTCGAGTGCGTCATACCTCGAGAGGAGTAACTCCAAAACTTCTCGGGATGTCGTGAACGCTCGGTATGTCGCCAGGAAGACATTGATGTAGGTTGATTCCAATTCACCATCATCATTTGCTAGGCTTTCCACTAATTTTTGAACTGTACCCGCTTTCAAAAAACGCACGCGCACTGTCTCCCACTCCAGGTGAGATATTTCATCATCAGAATCCTGAAAAATAAAATCATTTCCACGAAATTTTTTATTTTTGTTAGGAATTACTTAAACAATTTTCTTCAATATTAAGTAAATGTTAAAAAATAATTAATCGCCTTTAAGATGAAAGTGTGAAGCTGGAGAGGTATGTCCGGCTTCACAATTTGAAAAAATTATTTTACCGAAGCGGACAAACTCCTGGTTGGCCTGTGATATCTGACTTTCTTCAGGTACACCGTGTAGACAACACCGTCACACCTTTCCTCGCCCCATAAACGCCACGTGGGCTGCAATAAACCAAAAAACGATCATTAAAATTTAAATCCTACCTTCCACCGTTAAAGACAATCGCACCAGGAATTCTGGTGTCTTGGTCTCGGGTGAACGAGACCATGATTTATTGAAGCAATTCTCGACATTATTTCCTCCAAGGATTACCCTGGGAGATCGCCAACTACAAGACCATCGATTTCACCCGAGGGCTTCAATTATTATCCCCGTAGTCGGAGAGATTAATTTAAAATTCAATTAAACTTGGGATATCGTTGGACATCCCGAAAATCATGCGACTAGTTTTTTCAGACGAGCAAGGTACATCGACAAGCAATTATCCAGCGAGCATTTCAAAAGCAAGGGGTCTCAAAACATCATAAATTAACTTCGACAAAAAAATCCTATAGCCTCCTATTTCAACGAACACGAATAAAACAAAATAAAATATTATATTATAAATTTAATTTTCCATTGCCTCTGATAAACCTGAATGAGTGAATTTATTATTTTATATTTCTTTACCAGAAAAACTTCCGGTGAGATAAAAACGTCTGAAATTTTTTTTTTAAATCATCAATGCTCACCAGTGCCCACACAATTATTTCAATTTCTTCTTGAAATGGAGTCGTTGAAAAGACCGCATGTACCCAGTTGAATAGTTATGACATAATCCGGTGATTAACTCACCGGAAATGTACGACCAGAGTCCTCCAGTATTCGCTACTGAATACCTCTAAGGTTTCCCACTGGAGTATGTGATTCAAAGGTTCATTGACCTCCAAATTTCATACACTCAAATAGAAGAATCAATACTATCATATATTAATTTTCACCACTTCCTCTTCCCCTTTTACCGGTTGGAAAAATGGATCAATCAATCAACCAGTTTCCAGGAAAATCAGAAATAGAATAATTGAAAAATTTGGAGATCACCGGTGGAAGGAAAATGTAGAACCAAAAGGTGAAAGGATAAAGGTGTGTTTCATATATATTGTTGGGTATGTACGAAGGATTCCAAAACCAAGGACGAGAACGTCTCGAACCGTGGACAGTGAACAAAGGCCATTTTTGCGTGTAGTAAGTCTGAGCCCTCGCGTTTCCGGTCAGGTAACACGTAATTACACGCCCAGTTTAGCCCCACCTGAATTTTTAGACGTGTGTCTATATATTTAACATCCCCATACATCCCAAGACAATCCTCTAAACAATTGAAGATTATTATTTGTCGAGCGATAAATTAAAGTCATTAAGAGACTAATGACGTAGCTTCTTTTGTCAAGATTTTTTCAAATTGAATTGAATTGAAATTAATGGAATAATTTCAGAGCGACTTTTGCAATAGTTGAATGATTCTGGTAATGAGGGAATTGTTCTGGAAGTGAAGGATTTTAATAAAAGCTGATGATCTCCGATTAACTCTCCTCATTATCGAGGTAATGAAATCATTAACATAATGACTTATGTCACCGCAAGCTGCATACACCCGCTAAATTTATCTCATTTCATGTAATCAGAGCTATTTGAGGTACATTCAAACACCTAGATCTATTTACATTCTCAGCTTTCCGTAAATACAATTACATGTCACCAACCTCTTTACATAAACCTAAGTACAAAGGTCAGCGATGGACTTAATTAATCCCTTTATCATGAAGAGAACAGGGAAGACCTTCATTGGAATTTCGATAAATCTCGAAATAAAAACGGGAAAATATATAAAAAATAAGCGTAGCCTGGGACTATTACATGCTGATGCAAACAGAATATGCAAAGAACAGATTAAGAAACAAAATTAACGGACAAGCTACCAACAACAGGCGAAACATCAATAAACGTCAATCAGCTGATCAATGAAATTCAGTGAAGTGATTAAACTATCGGTGAATCAATGATATGACCTGTTTCATTTAGTTTCAAGACTTCACTGAATTGATTCATCGAATTGGATTTACCTGTTGAACATACCACTGGGTGGTACTGTGATTCTTCTTGGTGGAGGGTTTGCAGGGGGCACAGAAGAGCAGTGGACCAAGTTTTCCCTTGGATGGGGCCTGGGTCTGTGGTGGTGGGTCCTGGGGCGATGCGGGACTTACCCCGACATCACCTAGCACAGGCCACAGCATCCAGCACTAATTTCTCCTATTCTTTATCACTTTTACTTCGTTAATCTCACGTCATTCTTTAAACTCCCTCGCACCGATTTTATCATTAGCCACATGATTATTTATTCATCTGGAAGAATTTTTATTGATTTCAGAAATCTAATCATCTTTTTCCACAGCGATACCTTTATTTTTCTCGTTAAATATAATTTATCGCGTATTATTCGAATATTTTTTATGTCATCGGGGAAAGTAATAAGATAATGAGACAGTAATGATAATTATTTTTTTAATTAAACTGACTATTAAATTCTGTTCTCACGTTTCAATTGTCTTAGAGTAATTGAAAGCTATCAAGTACAGAGGACAAATACTTTGAGGAAAACCCAATGATACTTATCACTTTAATTATATCTCCTGTTATCTCAAAATGGAATTTCCGATGATTCTCGACAAAATTTTTGTTTCTCCAACGCTTTGACCGAGTTACATTGAATTACACGGTACGCAGAATTTAAATAATCCTCGGACAAGTGCGAAATCACTTCCTCTTTAAACTAGGTACTCGACGCATCTAGTATAGAATGAGACGTTTCAACGTGTTGTGACATTCTAAATCGATTTTCTGGTATTCCAGGGGTCGTCACTTACGATAAAAGGTCTTCCTCTAGAGCAGTGCGTGGGCAATATTCTCCGGTTAACAATAAACAATCTACAGAATAAAAAATCTAAAAGAAAATACGACATCGTAAAAGCGCGATTTATGGTATGCAAAAAGGAAAAGTTCCCGAGAAAAATATTGTATTCATCAATTGAATTTATTAAAAAAAAAAACATGAATTGTGTAATTTTTTTTAAAAGTCATTCAATTACATTCTATCCATATTTTATAACAGAACATTAAATAGATAATTGATTATCGTTATTATGATGAACCGCGAAAGAGCGTGGAATTAATGTAGATCAATTTGAATTTGGATAATTGATTCATGGAGTTGTGATCTGTCTCGTGTGGCTCGTTAGTTCCAACATCAATCAGCTAATTTGTCAGTTCGTATCACATTTCTCATGGAACTGACAGTAACCAGTGGAAAATCCGAAAACCTAGACCTCCGGTCCTTTTGAAATCAATGAAACGATATTATGCCGCCTGATAAGAATGTTTGACGCCTCATTGGGTGATAAGACTCTGAATGGAGCCTGTCACGTCTAGTCACGA